TTAGCCTGCTTGGACAAAAAATCCTGTAGCCAGCCTTAACCTAAGCTTTTCTTAACATGAGCACAGGTCAGCTTCCTCTTTCCCCTGTCCATTTCTTGAACTTCTCTCCTTTTTTCTGCACCAAAATAACCATCCATTAAACCAAAACCAAACTCACTGCTATTGAGTTGGATCTGACTCATAGTGACCCCTCCTTGGCTTTCCAAGGCAGTATCACTACGGAAGTAGATTGCCCAACCTTCCTTCCGAGGAGTGGCTGGTGGGTTTGAACAATCAGCCTTCTGGTTAGCAGTCAAGTGCCTTAGGTACTATGCCACCAGAGCTCCCTTGGCCTTAGTTTAGTAGTACTAAATACAGTTATTTTACATGAACTGCTTGCCCTTAATTATTCAAATAATTAAATGTCATTAAATCATTTAATTGTAACAGTAAATTGTTCATATGCTCAAGATGGACAGCTTTTTGTTTATGTGTCACAGTAGTTATAGGCAGTTCCTGGGTTACACCACCACTGGACAGCTCATATTTGCCCTTTATTGTTATGTAAATTTGCCATAACTCTGAGACAATTGAACCAACCTCTAAACAAAACCACACCCGCTGCAACCTCCATTGGGTTTCCAAGGCTTTGGAAGCTGATTGCACAATCACCTTCACTTGCTGCACGTGCAGCTTTTAAATCTTTAAAAAGGCATCAAGCTTTTTCTTGCACTAAAGGCTAAATAACAACTGCATGCATCTGTTCCAACTCACCTATAAATTCCTTTCTTAAAAAATTTAAGAGCTTGTTTTACATTCAACGTGACATGTACATTTAGTTTCATTCCCCATTCGCCATGTCCAGCCCTAACCCAATCTCCTCCCCTCCCTACCCTATAACCCTCCCCTTGTTCTCTTCATATTTATGCCCTCCTGTTTGTCCTGCATTTCCTCAATTTGAATGTTGGTCCTCTGGTGTCCCATAGTCTATTGCTCTAAGGGATGTATTTCCATAGAGTATGTGGGTGTGTCATCCTGGGTTGAGTGGTCTGCGTGTACATCTTGTTAACTATTGGGCTGAGAACCAGCCCTTGGGGGTATGTTTTATTCCAGGTGCAGAATGTATTCCAGGGCCATAGTATTGGGAGTCTCGCCAGATTTCATCTGACCAGTAATTCTGGTCATTACTGAGTTTTTTCACCTATAAATTCTTAAAGACAGAGTTAGGAATGGATCCTGATTGTAACCCAGGAGTGCCTGGTGCCTGCTTGTATAGCTTAGTTGTGTGCTCATACTTTAATGATGAAAACACATACTTGTGGAATTCAGAGTCATCTTTAGTTATTTCTCCTTCATTGGATCAGATCCAGTGGCAATGCTTCAAATATTAAACAAACTCAAATAAATTATAAATAAAAAGCTACTCTGAAGGATTACTCTAAGTAAAACTATTTGCAGAGATTGGGAGGGAAAGCTTTCTTTTGCTGAAGAGCTTAAATCTACTTTATTTGACCAGAATTTTAAATATATATATATGCTTTCCCTTAAGTATAGCAGTGTTTGGTGGCATTTGATTTAAAATATATTCTGAATTATTTCCTTATATCTTCTGCTGTCCCCTCTAAGTAGATTATTCTGGTTTCAAAGACTTTTAAAAATACACATTCCCCTAATTCTTTTCCTCCTAAAACAGTGCAGCTTTTCTAAGAGTTCTCTGGGTTAAAGACAAGTCTTTATACCCTCAACCTTCACACTTTGCAGATAATCTAGTTCTGTACATTCCTTTGGATTCTTTTTCTATGTACTAACAGTTTGGTCAACAGGAGATAATTTCTTCTTTTGGCACACTGGCCAATTTCATCCTTAAATCTATTAAGATCTCAGATGGTTGTAGGGTAAGGAGAATAGCTAGTTTATTGTCATCGATAGAAAAACACAGGGAATGAGTTTAGTTTGTTTAGTCAACACCTGAACGGAGGGAAATTCCTAATAGAGAAACAGACTGTCTACAAAAAGAGGGGTTGCTATGAGTCGGTCGAGGGCACATAACAACAACATTACATTCCTGGGAGCTCTGGAAGCATAGTGCCTAAGGCATTTGACTGCTACCAGAAGGCTGGCCCACCAGCCACTCCTCGGAAGGAAGGTTGGGCAATCTACTTCCTCCTCAGAAACCCAAGGTGCGGTCGCTATGAGTCAGGTTCAACTCGACAGCAGTCGAGTCCTAGCACTAGAGATACCAAAAGAAATACTTATGATTTTATACATCATAAATTGCCTTTAACTTGATTAACTATCAATTTTATTCACAAACTTCTCAGATTATAGTAGTAAGACAGGGACTTGGGAAATGAGTGTATCAGAAGTAAATTATATGATTAAAATGAAGTGTGATGTATTGTTTACTACTATTGAGTAATGATATTTTTTAAGCTAATCAGTGGTTCTCATCCAGGGCAATTTTTCCCCCATGAGGTGTATCTGGAGACATTTTTGGTTGTCAAGGCTCAGGGAGTAATGCTACTGGTATGAAGTGGGAAGAAGTCAGGGATGCTGCTAAACAGTGTATAGAATGCCTCCTCACCCCACTTGTAATCAAGAATTATCCAGTCCAAAATACTGGTAGTACCAAGGTGGAGAAATTCGGAGTAAATCCTACTGGAAATAGCAAACTAAATGCCAACAGGTATTAGTTTGAAGGCACAAAGAAAAAAATTCTAGTATATTTCTCCAATTTTAGTACATATCTCTAGTAAACAAATTAGGTTTGGAATACATTTGTTAAAATCTCTATTTTTTTAACCTAATTTACCAAAGATAAGTATTTCAGGGGACTATGAATACATGCCTGGGATCTAAAGGTAAACATGTCAAAATGAGACTGAAGTACAAATAAACAGACAAAATGCTTCCAGTCCTTCTTATTCTCTTGTTCAATTTCAAATAATCACTTTCATTATGGTCATATGTTCAAAAGCCAAGAAGTAAATTATGACTGTTTCATTAAAATGTGTTTCGTCTAATGTAATACACAACTAGTAAGCATCTGGTACTGATATTTCATGATATTCATCCTTTGGAGAGCACTTTAAAAGTCTGTTCTCTGCAATCCAGAAGCAAAAGGAGGAGGTTAAGTATTACTCTTACCTATATAAATTTTGAGTTTTGGAGTTTTTTACTGATAGGAGCTACTGCCTCAATAAATAATAGTAATAATATAAAAATTTGAAAAGTTCATCAGTAAGAGAGAAGCTGAGACATTTGCCTGTACATGAAAGAGATAGAAAAAATGTTTTATTTATTATCATGTATCAAGGTGATCAAGATTTTAATAAACATCTTAATCCTCACAACAACCCTGTGAGGTAGGTAAATCATTGTTTTGTAATAAACTAGTATTATTCCAAATAAAGTGCAATTGTTAAAATAACTCTGCATGAAGAGTAACTTTAATAATGACATAATTTACACTTTAATATTTGTTTTTGTATGCTCAGATTTATGTAATAAGGTGTCTGTGGAAAAGTTTACTGTGACTCAAATCTTATTTAAATATAATCGAGACACCATTTAAGTAATGGTAAATCCCTTTGTAAAATAAATCAATATTTATGTAAAAAAGGAATTTTCATAGTATTTGCTCAAAGTTATACAAATACTACATTTATCTATTCTCATTCTTCGGCAAATTATCTTAATGTGGCACCAAACCAATATAAGATTTTATTTACTGAATTAAACCTCAGTGATTTGGTATATGGCAGTGAACTGTGTTGTCACATAAAAGTTCTCTAAATATATTGCACTTAATCTCAACCCAAAACCTAAGGCAGACCATTTATTAAAATGTAAACACTAAGTAGAGGCTGATAAATTTCAAAAAAGTATTTTTCCTTGAGAATCTTACTTTAATTTTTCCTTTGAAAGGAGAACAGATCTTAGGGTCTTTATAAAAAAGCGTAATACTCTGATAACTATAAAATTCTAGTGATTTTCACTGCAAATGAAAGCCTCATGCTATCAATTTATCACATACAAGGGAGCCAGCAGATGCCACCCCAAAAATTTAACTAGTTTTTTCTCTGTCAATATACGATTTACAAGGAAAAGAAATATTCCCAGGCATTCATTTTCCTCTTAAATATACAAAGTACTTTTCTATTGTTTGTCCAACATTAGTAAACATCTAGATGCTTAATATTTTTTATAGTTGACTTATCTGCAAAATACATTTTTAAGACAATTTCTGTTAGATTTAATTATGAGATAAATATTTAGGATATTTATAGAATTTATTTGTAACAATAACTTTAATTAAGCTTGGAAGCTTATTTAACACTTAAAATCCAATGGAAAAGTTTACAATACTTTAGAGCAAGTGGTTAAAGTAATTTTCCATTATAAATAGTTCAAGTCCAGAAAAAACACTCTCATCTACGTACTTTAAAAATTGCTGTAGACAAGTCAGGCAAATCAACGGGTAATATAACCTAATCCATCTATAAGTTGTACATTCAAATCCATACCAGACCCAACAGTGCACTTTGGATTACAGTGAGGTAGGGCAAAGCAAGAGAGTCAGATGTATTCTGAATTGTTAAATTTATATAAACTGAAATATTGACTTCTACCCAGCTTTTATTTGGATATCCAAAAAGAAAACTTTAGAACTCAAAGGACAAAGCATTTTCTTGGATTCAAGGACAGAATTGTAAAAACGGTTGCCAAAAAATCCAAAACTGTTGACGTTCATATAAATAAAAACTACAAAGTCTACAAGATTTTTTTATTTCAACATAAAATATGCTTGTATAAAAATAACCCAGGAAATATAAAAAAGTACAAACATTTTGCATAGATAGAAATAGAAAACATTTATCTGCAGCTAAGCACTGGATAATACACCTCTGAAACTAGTATAGTTGAACTATTTCCTTGGATACCAAGTATATACAAAAGAAGCCCTTAATCTGGGGAGCATGGGCAGGAGGGAAACAATTTAATTCAGCATCAGTCTATATTTATTTTTCTGTTGCTCGAATATAAACCAATGATGACAAGAGGAGAAACTCTGGGGGTTTATTTAACAAAATTAAATTCACATTTCTGAGGCCATCATAGTGCATCCAATGTCCATCAATCTGGAAAGCTGCAGAATAATGATGTTCCTCTTTGTTAAATAATGTGGCACCTTCCAATAAATACCTGCAAAACAAATGACCAAGTGTAGCAGAAAATTATAATAATTAGTTAAGATAAATATTCCTTAAATTCTTAACTATGGAATTAAAATAAATCAAGATTATTTACATTCTGCTCCCTTAAAAACACATCCACCTGTATAAATCATGTACTGTAACTGGTAATTTGGAATAAAATGTTTAAGAATCTTTTTTATTTTAAGGTGAAAGTTTTCACCACAAATTAGATTCCCCTTCAACAATTTTTATATCAATTGGTCTGTGCCACTGGTTATAAATTTTACACTGTGTCAGCATTCTCATTATTATTTCCATTTTATTTGTTCCGTTTCCATTGATCTAGCTTTCTTTCCTGTCCTTGCTTTCTCGTCTTTGCTTTTGGGTAAATGTTGACCATTTTAGTCTTAGATAGTTCATTGTTTAAGGGAGCACATTACTCACAGGTGCTACTGTTTATTTTATTAGTCAATCTATTATTTGGCTGAAAGATGATCTGAAAAAATAGCTTCAATTCCATGCTCAAAGGTTATCTTAAGGTGATAGTTTTGGTGGTTCTTCTAGTCTCTATTGGTTCAGTAGGTCTGGCCTATTTTTGGAATTTGAGTTTTGTTTTACATTATTCCCCTAATCTATCCAGGTCTTTCTTTTGTGTCCCTGGCCAGAACAGTCAGTAATGGTAGCTGGGCACCACCTAGTTCTGGTCTCAAGTTAGAAGGCTGTGATTTGTATGGGCTATTAGTCCTGTGGATTAGTTTCTTTGTTGAAACTAATTATCTTGTGTTCCACATGAGTAGAGATCAAGAGTTGTATATTAGATGGCTGCTTGTAAGCTTTTAGACCCCAGACACTACTCACCAAACCAGCATGTAGAAGTTATCTTTGTGAACTATGTTATACCAATTGACTAAGTTGTCCCCAAGACTACAGTCCCAAGCCTTTTAACCCTGTAAACTAATTCTGCTGGTTATTTGGATATGTTTAGGAAGTCTCTGTAACTGTGCCTATGTGGTTTGTTATATATGTGGATATATGTGCAGTACATACAAATGTGTGTGTGTGTTTGTGTGTGTGTATACAGGTACATTTATTAGCACATGCCTCCTATACACATACATGCATCCATATCCATCTATGTAATCACATACTTTTTTGTTTTTAACTGTTGGTGCAAAATTGTTAAGTACAGCATTTGACAAAATTTTCCCTTTTTTCTCATGTACTTCTTAGTGACCTTATTTACCTTGGTCAAGTTGTGCTGACTTTACCCAAATTTGGTCTTGCTTTTCTCATCACCAAAAATGATAAGTTCTACTATCTGGAAAGTGATTCTCCCTCTCTCTTCCTCCCCTCCCTGGTAACCATAAAAGAACTTTGCTTTCTGTGTATTTATCTATTCTTGACTTTTTATAGTACTGAAACATAGTTCACAAATATTTATCTTTTTGTGACTGATTTATTTCATTCAGCATTAATATCCTTCAGAAGGAGCTCTGGTAGCGTAGTGCCTAAGGCACTTGACTGCTAACCAGAAGGCTGGCGGTTCAAACCCACCAGCCACTCCTCGGAAGGAAGATGGAGCAATCTACTTCCATACTGATAGTGCCTCGGAAACCCAAGGAGAGGTTGCTATGAGTCGGGTCTGACTCGACATGCATATAACAACAACAATAACAGTGTCCTTCAGAAGGAGCTCTGGTGGCACAGTGCCTAAGGCATTTGACTGCAAACCAGAAGGTTGGTGGTTCAAACCCACCAGCCACTCTGCAGAAGAAAGACTGGGCAATCTCCTTTCATAAAGATTTACTGCCTCAGAAAACCAATGGGGGTCACTATGAGTTGGAATTGACTCAATGGCAGTGGGTTAATGGCCTCCAGATTCATCCATGTTGTAAGATGTCTCATAGACTTCTCATTATTCTTATAGTTGTATAGTATTCCATCATATGTATGTACCAGTTTTTAAAATCCATTCCTCCATTGATGAGCACTTACGTTATTTCTATCTTTTTGCTATTGTGAATAATGTTGCAATGAACGTAGGTATGCATATGTTTATAAATGTCACTACTCTTATACATCTAGGATATATACTGAGGAGTGGAATTGCTGGATTATAAGATATTTCTATTTCTAGCTTTTTGAGGAAATGCCATACTGTTTTTCATAGTGTTTGTACCATTTTACAATCCCACCAGCAATGTATAAGGGTTCCAATCCTACTACAACCTCACCATCATTTGTTACTTCTGTTTTGTTGGTCATTGCCATTTTTGCAGGGGTAAGATGATACCTCCTTTTAGTTTTAACTTACATCACTCTAATGGCTATGATCACAAGCATCTTTTCATATATTTGTTGGCTGCATAAATGTCCTCTTTGTTGAAGCATTGGTTCATATCCTTTGCCCATTTTTGACTGGATTATTTTCTTTTCATTGTTGAGTTGTTGGAGTTTTCTATATAGTTTAGAGATTAGACCTTGATCTGATATGTCTTTGTCAAAGATTTTTTCTCAGTGTGTAGGTTCTCTTTTTACTCTCTTGGTAAAGTCTTTTGATGAGCACGAATGTTTAATTTTTAGGAGGTCCCAGCTATCTAATTTGTCTTTTCTTGTTTGTGTATTTTTACTTTTTTTTGATAGGCTATTTATGCAGAAGAGTAAGTCCCTAGTTTTGACCCTATGTTATCTTTCAGAAACTTTATTGTTATTGTTACCTTTCAGAGACTTTATTGTTTCAGAAACTTTATTGTAACTCTTAGGTCTTTGAGTGATTTTGAGTTAGTTTTTGTGCATGGCATGAGGTATAGATCTTGATTCATTTTTCTGAATATAGATAACAAGTTCTGTCAGCACCATTGGTTAAAGAGACTGTCTTTTCCCTACTGAATGGACTTTGACCCTTTGTGGAAGATCATCTGCCAGTAGTTGGATGGGTTTATTTCTGGGTTCTCAATTCTATTGCACTGGTCTATGTATATTTCATTTTATCAGTATCAGGCTGCTTTTAATACTGTGGCTGTACATTAAGTTTTGAGATCAGAAGTGTGAGGCCTCTTGCTTTGTTCTTCTTCAATATTGCTTTAACTATTCGGGGCTTCCTTCCTTTCCATATAAAGTTGGAGATTAGTTTTTCCATTTCATTAAAGAATGCTGCTGGGATTTGGATTGGGATTGCATTTTATCTATAGATCACTTTTGGTAGTACTGACATTTTCAGTGTTAAGTCTTCCAATCCATGAGCATGGAATATTTTTCCATTTATGTAGATCTCTTTCAGTTTCTTGCAGGAGTATTTTATAGTTTTCCTTGTATAAGTCTTTTATGTACCTGGTAAGGTTTATTCTTAGGTATTTTATTCTTTTGGGGCATTGTTGGTGCATTTGGATTTTATTAAATGCTTTTTTTGGTATCAGTTGAGATGATCATATGATTCTTTTTTTTTTTTTATGTGGTATGATATCAATAGGTATGAATTTACTGCTGTTGTTTTGTTGCTTTTATTTATTTTTTGTGGTGTTAATGGTTTCTTTGTTCCACTTAATTTTTTGTGCTGAGTTATTTTTGTTTACAGGTTTTCATTTTTGTTGTTGTTCATTTTGTGTTTGTTGGTTCTTTTTGATATTCTTTATTTTTGTAGTAGATTTATTAATCTTCTTAGTGGTTACCCTAAAATTTACCTTTATTTTCCTAAAGTTTATAGCAGTTTGTTATATCTTGATATTGCTATTATTTTCTCTACATATGGAAGTTCTGTATTTACACGATTTCTTTTCCCTTTTTGTTTAAAGTTGTCATCATTTCAGATTGAGACCTCTGGTTCTCTGTTCTCAGTTTTGTAGCTTTATTTTGCTTTTGAGAATTCTTTATTTGGACTGGTGTCTGGGTAATTCTGTTTTATGTCTTCATCTCTAGTTGCTGTCTGATGTAGCTGGTTCTGTGTAGACCTCCTTTAATATTTCTTGTAAGACTAGTCTGGTTTTTATACATTCCCTTAATTTCTGTTTATCTGGGACTGTACTAGTTTCACCATTATAGTCGGAAGACAATTTTGTTGGATACATGATTCTTGGTTGGCAATGCTTTGTTCTTTCTGAGTGTTGTATATTGCATCCCATTGCCTCCTTGCCTGCATATTTTCTGCTGAGAAATCAGAGCTTAGTCTTATTGGCACCCCTTTGTAGGTGATACTTTTTTTTTTTTTTTTCATGAGCTGCTCTTGGCATTCTTTTTTTTATCTTTGGTTTTGGAAGGTTTGATTAGCATATGTCTTGGTGACTTTCTTTTGGGGTGTATCCTGTAGGGTTTGCTGAGTTTCTTTGATGGAAACTTTCTGTGTTTCATGATAATAGGGAAGTTTTCTACCAATAAATATTCTACAATTCTCTCTGTGCTTTTCTTTCTCTCACCCTGTTCTGGAATTACAATTACGTGTAAATTATTCCTCTTGATGGTATTCCACATAACTCTTAGGCTTTCTTCATTCTTTTTTCTGATTGTTCTTCATACAAATTAGTATAAGGGATTTATCCTGTGTTTCATGGATTCTTCCTTCAAGAATCTTTTTAATGGATGTAATTTAAGAATTTTTGTTTTTTAACTTTTTTTTTTTTTT